GGAGCTTCGCAGTGATTGGCGCCGTCTTCTGCCGCCGCGGACGCCCCTGCTCGTCGCAGGGACAGGCGTCGGCGGCCTCTTCTGCGCGGTCGAAGACGATCGCCAGGGCGTGCTTGTGCGCATACGCTTCGATGGCGGGGACGTCCTGCTGCGCCGTCCGGCTCTCGTGAAGGACGAGGAGCACCTCTTGCACGACCTCGAAGGAGCGGACGCAGAGGGCGGCGAGCCAGAGCAGGTCGAGGTAGGCCGAGAGGTCGAGTTTAGCGATGACCGAGGCGAGGCGCTCGAGCGCTGCGAGGGCGGCCATGCCGAGGTCGTTTGCGGAGCGAACAATCTGAATGAGCACAGCTATAGCCAGCCTTGCGCGGAGAGGCTCGCTGAGCTCCGCTGGCTCCTCCGATAGGAACCGCTTGAGAGCACAATACGCCAGAGGCGGGTGTTCGACCATGGCCGTCAGAACCGTGTGCAATGGAAAGTCGTCCTTGCGCAGGAGCGATTCGAAGATGTGGAACATTCGGTCCTCTGCGCGGTGTTTTCTGGCCATGTAGAAGTAGCCGAGGGCGTCGTCGGATGAGGTGGCATCCAGCACGCGAGAGGCAGCATCGAGAGCGCCGACCAAGACTGTGCGCTCTTCGGCAGGTCGTTCCTCCCAGTTCACGCTCAGCAGCGAGTTTGGGGTATACTGGCCGGGTCTGTGGTCGAATCTGTGCAGGAGTTCTTCTGTCTCTACGCTGACGTAGAAGTTAGACATGACGTCGACGGTTAGTCCCATTGAGACGACTTACTATTCAAAGCGCAAGTCAAAGAGCTGATGAGCGACCCGATCTCGGTTCGACACGACGTGAATCTCGATGGAGGTGACTGGCGTACGGTTCATGCGTCCATATTGCTGTGTATCCTCTTTAAGATGTATAAACCTCAATACCAGAGGCCAACTTACCTGCTGGACAAACCGCGAGAAATTTTGCAGCGCTATGCTCGTGATAATATCTGCGCCAGATTTCTCTGGGGGTCGAGTGAGAAAGATGAATGTGTTCGCCCGTTGTCGGTTGAAGAGCTGCAACGTATTGTCTGAGCAAGACAGGATCCAGCCTTTGACGCCGCGCTTGTACGTGGATATAACGGTCGTCGACTCGGGCAGGAAGGAGCATGCCAGAACATTATCATCTATTACATGCTACAAGTACGGTCAGCAAGCGATCCGTGCAGGCCCGCCTGCGTGCACTTACGTCTTCGTCCCAAGGGATGGGCCCGCGGAAGAAAATGCCGGCGGAAAAGCGGTCGTCGGTCTGCACCGAGGTTCAATTAGCCCCGACGGCCATATTTCGTGAGCTGGGACTCACCTTCAACAATATCATCCTCCGATTGTAATTTTGCAGAGCATTTTTCAGGTACTCGAAGAATGCTGCGCGGCCTTGTATGGACGAAGAATATAGGCGCTGTAGGCGAAGCGGTCCACCCAAATCCCTGTCTTCGAGGTCTTTGCGCCGCAGGATCTCAGAGCGGACAAGGCTTTTTCCAAGACTGATCAGCCCAACTGCAGATACAGGAGGCGAGTCGACCCACCTGTTCCAAACGTAGGGTATCTCATCTTCCGTCATTGCTAGCATACTCGCGGTAGCGTACTTCTCCGCGACGGTCAGCGCGCTGAAGTCTACGTGCGAAAAGTATCTCCTCATATCGATACCATGTTTCCGCGCAATCGCAGCTGCCTTGCAGAGCATCTCGTATTCTGACATGGTCGCCTTCTCCGAGGAGAGGAGCCGGAGAATCATGTCCTCCGCGACATCTACGCTCGCTGCGCCGCCGTTAGACTCCTCGGGCCCAATCTGGCGGAAGTGCTCGGCGAACTCTCGAGCCGCATCGTGCAGGACGTCGAGCACGTAGGGCTCCTGCATCACGTTTTGGGGGACTTTGACGAGGCGCTCAGGGATCTTGATCGAGCCACCGTCGACGGCGAGGGAGTAAAGCGCGTTGAGTTCTTGGCACTCTGCACTCATCGCGCCTGCCGGGCTGAGGCGAATCCACTTTTGATGCAGAGCAGCTACGCGTCCCATCGTTATGCTGAAAAAGTGAGATTAACCACTCTGCGATCTTGTACTTGAGACGAAAACAGACCTGTTGTACGCTGCGAAATGCTTAGCAAGGTCCTGACGAGCGATCTTTGCATTTAGACGCTCTGGAGGGGCGGGATAGTCATAAGACTATTCGCACTGTCAGCAGCACTCAAGTCTACATGAGTGCATCGTGTACCTGCGCGACCTTTCTCGGAACGAGGTCGGGATCCCAGATGACAGTGAACTTGTCTCCGTCTGCGGAAGATCAGAATCGGTAAATATTAGCTTCATCATCCTGGAAGGGGTCACAGACCAAGGTCACCACCGGAGCTCATTGAAGGCGCTGCGCGTCGACCGCGACTGGCAAAGACGAGGCAGTCGATCAGATGGTCCAATGCAGGGTGATGAACAGCACGAAGCTTGAGACAGTCCCCAGGGTAAAGACACGGGTTCCGCACCACCAGGACGTCGACGTTCGTGAGCGTCGTTATTCCTTTCCTCGGGATCATGATGCGAACATGCACTTCGCCCTCGCGAAGGACGCTGTAGGGATCACAGACGCCAAACAGAAACCGTGATTTTGGAACGAGGGTCCTGACGCGGAGTCGGTCGTTCTTCCGAATGGACGCCAGCTCGCTATTCTGCAGGGCGCGTATCTCTTGGCGTACAGGCTTGGAGTCGATGCCCTCGAGTAGTAATCGTTCAGCCATTGCGTAGCGATTCGCAGCGCAGAGCAAGTCGAACGCTGCTTCCCAGCCGTCCGAGGCTTTCTGCAGCCACTCATGATAACCGCGTTGCTTCGCAAGGAAAGCGTCCGAAGAGATGCCCAAGCTCGCGAGGAGGACGACAATGTCGTTATTCAGCCGTGCGAACGCAAACGGGGTTGAGTGATCGACCACGGAGAAGGTGTCGTTCTGAGTTGCTGTGAATTTCTTCTGGCTCTTGCGGAAGTGGACGTGGTCGGTCGTCAACCGCGGGTCGATAGCGAGTACTCCCTACAGAACCGTGAGGGGGGTGTAGAAGAATGGGCCGCACACGCACTTTGTAGCCACGATAGCTGGTTGAAGAAGACTACAATTCAGTGCATGGTCAATCAGTCAATTATTCTGCTCACCGGATCTGATAGACAGTTGGAGTATAGGGTCGTCCATGGTACAAAATGCGCTTGTGTTTGCTCAGTTGCTTCGCAAACTTGACCGAGATCAGCCCACATCCATCCGAAAAGGTCTCTCCGTTCACGACGATGTCATCAATGTCCTTCGTCCATCGTGGCTGCAAATTCCAGTCGATTTTTGCTTCTGAGAACAAGAGGCCAATGCGCTTTGCTCCTACCAGATCATTGGCAAGAAAATACGTGCTTAGGAACTGGTAGCCTACTCTTAGAAGCACTGGTAATCTTAAGAAAGTCACCAAGGCGATATATCAGTGCGTCGAGTTCTTCATCATTCTCGGCTTGGCGAAGAAAGCAGCTTCGAGATCGCTGAAGCTTGATCAGCCCACACTCTTACAAGACCCCGACTCGAGCTCATACCAGCTGAGAGTTACTGTGCCCGTAGAACCGGTATTGCGTACCGTTCAAGAATAAGCCCGCTTTGAAGAAGCGGATCATGTACTCCTGCGCAACACGGGGCGACGTATCAGGGAATCTGAGCTTCTCGAACGACACCAAGACGAATTTGGTCGCGTCGTCTGACTGCAAGATTCGGTTCTGAGGGAACTGTGTCCTGTCGAGTGTAATCTTTTCAGGTGAAAAAGAGATATGGAGGCCCATCCCGGGACGTTTCAGTGGTGGCAGGGCGGTTTGGAATATCCAAGAGTCGTCGTCAGTCGTCGGCCTCTCGCGAAGGATGGTCGGCGTCATGGCGAGTTGCCAGTGAGCTGGGCGTCGGAGACGTTGAAGATGCGAGGCAAGAGTCACAAGTCTGAGAGGCTCATCGATGAGACGAGCACGGCGGCGTGGACAGTGGCAACCTTATTCGATGAGGCTATTTGGATTCCAAACTGAGGCGCTGAGAAGAGCTGGGTCTTGACTTGCCACGCAAGCACTACTTTCCCAGAAACAAGTTAGCTTCACTTGTTGCTAGGTATGACATCGTGTATGGTGGCAGCGTAGTACTTACCGGGCGACTTGTAGAGGACGAGATGGAGCAGCAAGCGGTGGCGACGCGGGCAGTATTCGTTGTCGGTGCTTCGTCGGTTGGCAAGACGACTCTCTGCAAAGCCATAGTAGACAATCTGGCAGTCGAACCTGACAGATGGATCAAGGAAACAGCCCGAGAGGTCATGCGCACTCAAGGATTCTCGCGAGATACCACCCACAAGGTGGAAATGCAACACGCCATCATGGCTGCCCAGCTCAACGCAGAAGAACGCGTGCTAACGCGTCCAAGAGGAAATGGACCAATCTTACTCTTGAGCGACAGGTCAGCCGTCGACCCCATCGTCTACGCGGCGACATCCAGCGTAGACGGTGAATCGAAGCGGTTGCGGCTGATTCAAGACCCTGCGTTTCAAGCCACCCTAGCATTCTACAGAGAATCATTGTTCTGTATGTACAGGATGTTCTGAAACGTTTTGCGCCTTTTCATATGTCACCCTGCTCGCAGTCCTCCTTCAACCCGTCCTCGAATGGTTGCAAGACGACGGTATCAGGTCTTTGGAGGATCCATGGAACTATAATGCCCATCTCCGTACAACTCTGACGGAGCTGGGCATTCCATTCGTGGAGATCGGTGAAGAGTTGAAGGACATCGCTGAGCGGGTAGAGATCGTAAGAGGATACTTACGAAAGGGTGAGACATACGAGCGTGTATCGTTTGCCAGTGGAGTAGGGCACTCAATAGAGCTTGCATAACAGACGGGTCAAGATGTACGTAGACGGAAATGCTTAACATCAGTGGCAGATAGTCAAGCTCACCGCGGACTTGACTCTTTCCCGAAAGTGTAGCGTTAGTCGCTATGTACCTCTGCTAGCGGACACATACGCACCTGATGGTCCCCACTTCTGCCAACCATAAACAACTACTATTGTTCTTTGTGGGACATCCTAATATGTCGCAATGACCTGCCAGCGCATAAGCAGAAGGTGGGTGGTGAGGTGGAAGACGGGGACGAGCGCAAGCGTGCCACCAGCGGTGAGACTAATCGTGACAGTCACAGTGATGATAGCATTGTCACAATGTCACGTCACGTCTAGTCACGCCAGGCTGACAAGGAGCCGGCCAACATCAGCTGCGGAGCAAATTGTTGAAAGCTGCGGGGGCATACGCCATGCATATGTCTGATGAATTCAATGCTGTCTTACTCTACAGTTTATGATATACGTTGATTGAGGGTTTGAGCTGCATACTAATCTAAGCTCCCAACCAGCGGGACCCGCGCCAGACTCAACAACGGCATTCCGAACCAGTCACTCGGTCCAATAGTGAGTGCCACAGCCACTAAAAACCAAACTCTACGAGATATCTGTTATGCTGATGAGCTGCCTGTCTGTCTTACAGAAAAGTATCACAGCTGCATGTGTGGTCCCCGCGAAGCACATGGTCAACAGCTGCCTGCTTTCAATATGTACAAGACTTTGAAATGAATCGTAGTCGGGCGTCCTACTTCGTGGAATTATTTGGTACCGCCTGCAGAACGCACGCGCTACAGCCTGGGAAGCCTGCCTCCGCACTTTGCAATGTTGCTATCGCCCGACTTCCGCCATACAACGGTGTTGTCGGCCGTTAGGTACGTTTTCCCACATGCCAAAGTTTTGCGGATCACAAGTTAATGACCACGAGCGGGACCATCCGACCGTCTCCCGCGGCTCGCCACGTCACAGGAAAACAACGAGGCGTCTCCGACTAGGTTCGCTCAACGCACTGTCTCTGCTTGCCTTCATGTGCGCACGGCCGACGCTGTCTGGTCGAGGCTGCGCGAATTAGGTTACGAAGCTTTCATCGCGTGCGATCACTCACAATGTTCTGGCGGTAGCTGCTTCTTCCCTGTGATTCTTCTGCGGATGACACTGGCCATCCCCGCGCGTCAAGCACGACAACTGCGCCATGCACGATCTTCAAGTACTCCCACGTCGATCGTCTCATGCAGTATGACATGCGCTGCTCAGAGCCATGGCGTGCTCCACTGCCTTAGCCTATGGAGTTCTGTGAGTCGTTATCGCCCTGGATCCGAGCTGAAATCTCTGCTCAACATGCACCTCTACAACACAGCGCCCATGAGATGGCGCGAAGCGTCGGCATCATGTTATGAAATCTGCCGCGAGATATATTCTAATTAAAGGGGCCCGACAGCAGTATCCCGCGCGCCTTTGGCAAAACCATGGTAAGCCGCAGCCCGCCACCCTCGATAAATTTCACCGCTGACAATGCCATGTTCCTGCCGGAATGCAGGCTTCCGAAGTCAAGCACGCGCATATAGAGCCGTCCGGCCGAAATCGCTTCGCGGCCGAGAAACTGGTGCGATTCATTGCTGGCGTGGCGAAGCGGTTCGGCTTCTCGGCGCCACCATGCACGATCTCAGGAACGGTTCCATAGGTTCGCTTTGCAGGGATCACTGGTACGTAGCAGCGTTTCCTCGATCGTGCCAACCTGCTCATGTGGCGGACGCACCCGTTGCAGGGCGCTTAGCGCTGGATGGCGACCGGCCAGATATTCGCGGGCTGCAGGCTTAGCGATATGCTTCAACTACGGGATATCATGGAAGCGTAGGGCCTGAAGGTACCAATGCGTGAAAGTGCGGCCGCACACGAGCCATGCCTCAGTACGGGACCGTGCAATTCAACGGAAAGAGAACGAAATAGGTGAAGATGCGGCTATAACCTGCTATCAAATCCTTCGACGACACAACCCCAAATGCCTCGCCTGCTTTCCATGGGCGATCCTCTGGCTATGCACACGATCTAAGCCTGCATTGCACTGCGCCGGTCATTGTGCGGCGGCGGCGACATGGCACGTCGACCCTGGCGACTTCGCGCGGACTTAAGTTCTTCCAGTCAAGACTACAACCATTCTTATAGCACGTCCATTACTCGCCTAGTCCGCTCGTCGACCGCCGCTAACCTCCGGAGGAAGACTATCCCTTAGCCGTAAGTCCTCCTCTCGATAGAACAATGCTTCTCGTCAACGTCAATATTATTAGCGCTTGCTGTGTCCAAGGCCTCATATCACGCACCTATCTCGCTCCTGTCGGGCATATACCTGAAATATAAAGTACGATAGGAGCAACGATTATTTTGAGATGTTACAGCGAGTAAGTCTCTCCAAAAAACCTTGTACATGCTCTGTGTCCGACAGTGTCTTGAGCAATGACATTTCTTCCATTTGTGGGTCAGGTAATTCGGTGCCATCGCTTCGTCTGGCGACTATGAAAGTGCACGGCGATTCCTGCTACGTTTCAAGGGCTTCGACTAGCCTTGGCCGCCACACCGTGTACGGCACACTTAGCTTCGACTTCCATTCCACGCCTATGCGACCAGAGAGCTAGTAGAGTACGTGTCTGCCGCTATTCTAGAGGACGCAAGTGGCGTGAGACTCCTCCAAGGCTCGCCACGCTGCTGTGGCTGCATGTTTCATACCTCGGTCTCCGCCACGGCATCACAGACGAGGCGCCTATCAATCTCTCCTGTGCTTCGCGTTGGGTCCCTTCGGGTTTGCGCTGGCGTCAGCAAACGCTGGAGTTAAGCGCGTCGCGCGGGAGCACGCCTAGCAACGTGCCCGGAAATCACGGAAAAGGTTATGGGCAACGTGGAGGGTCAGCGCATGCATATATTTTGGAAGTCATGTATGAATGTCGATTTCGGTACTTGCTTGCAGACATACACTTTCTCATATAATAAACCAGCAGAGCTGCCGGGAGAGCAAGATATTCAAAGGTACCAGAATAGCTCGATTTTGGCGAATTAAATGATAAGCATTAATTGCTCAGGGTCGTCGAGACCTACATCCGTCACGAGGCCCTGGACTATTGTCTTCGTTTTCTACGTGTCCGCCAGCGGCCAAAGCATTCATTCGCTGTGCCTGTAGCAATCACAGCACGCAAGAGCACGAGATAAGTGAATTAATATTAGTTCTGCTTCGGAGCGCGCGACCAGGGTCGTCGCGTTCCGCAACATGTTCTCTTTGCCGGACGATCCGCGCCAACGGCCAATTTGCGATGCTCGCCATGCTTCAGGGTCAGACTTCCCCTGGGCACAATGTCCTCGGACGGACTGCGCGCGGCGCTCTGCGCATTGTATCTGCGATGGTATGCGAGGACCGTCGTACCTTGCCAAGGAATCTGTCCGACAATGTGGAGGGTCTAGGTGCCGGTCGTGTTCATGAAGTTTTGCGGCCGACAGGGATGTCCGATACGACGAGCTGCAGGCGGGGCTGTCTCGTTCTTTCGAATGGCCGGGGCGTCTGCGAGGAATCTGCAATGAATCAACTGCTCAACGCGGCCTCTGTTAGCCGTACATGACCGTACGTCTGTCTAGATCACCGGAATTCGACCTTGAAGAAATCATTTGCCTCGCAGTATTTGTTGTAGGCACGATCACCGGGCCTTACAGCACTCGTGTGGCTAGTCGGAGGCAGAAGCCGCGTCTTACATCTCAGGCGCGTCGGAACGTTTGTACGACGGTGTAGCACGACGCTGTCGCCGGACGAGATATGCAAGAGTGTATGCAAGTTGGCAACATCTTACCACCTCTATCACACTTCCATCACTCGGGGCTACGCCAGGATGAGAGATTGCATGCATGCGGTGGCGAAGAACTCTGCTACCATCGCTCTCGCTTGGCCGTGGCGCGCTCTCCCAACATCCGAAGGCGACTCGTCCGCGCCTAGGCACGTCACGTTGAGCAGACTCGACGCCTTCACGCGGCTTGACCGATCACCACATAGTCTCTCAGGCCTGAGGTTCAACGTGCATCCTCGGCCTCCGCACAGATTGAGAGTAGAGCACACGCAGGCATGAAGCCACTACAAATTCCTCGTCCACGTCGGCACCGAGAACAGCACGGTTGGTCTCGAAAGTGCGAGACCAAAGTCTGCACCGCCGGTCGAGAACCTGTGGTTCGCGCAGCCTGCATCCAAGGGCTACGCCAGCGATGTCACGCAGTGCGAGTCTGTCTCGTCCTCAAGCTCCGACGAGACCTCGCCGCCGTCGACGCGTCCGCCCTCGTGAGTCTCATGACTCCGCCTAATTATAACCCGCTTCCTGCCACCCTGCGTCAATGTGACAGCTGAAGCTGCCTGCAGGCCTCCCATAGCGCAATTCGAGGCCAAGCCTGGCCAGCGCACTGCCGTCTGCGTGGAGGGCGGTGAGTACGACCTGTGCAGACCCCAATTGATGTGGACTACGCACCAGAATTGTGCTGGGGAGAACGTCTCGCGCAGACCCTTGTATGTCGTGCTCGAACGTGCGTCGGTGGAACTCTGCCACGTCCCGCCACCGCCACCGCGCGGCCGGTACGCGAAGCAGAAGCCGACTCTGCTCACTTGCGATGACCACCAGAGCCTCTTGGTGCGCATGGGCAGAGAGATCAGCGATGCCCGCCCGGACATTAGCCACCAGGTCGGCCTGGTCTTGTCTTTTTCTTTCTTTCTTCCGATGCTGTTCAGTCGCTCATGCCATGCCAAAGTGTCTCCTTACGTTGCTCGATTCGCCCCTGAACAAGGCTGGGCTGCTGAAAGTATTTATCCATACAACACAGGACCTTCTCATCGCTGTGCACCCCGACGTCCGGATCCCGCGCACGTACAGACGCTACAGCGGTCTCATGGGTGCGTACCCGGTGCTCTCGCGGGTTCGCCGCCCGTTGCTGAACCGCCGATGCAGTGCAGCTGCTGCAGCAGGGCGAAAATCGCGGGGCGAGCGACTCGCAGGTGCTCATGCATATTCTCGACGTGAGTGTGTGTTCCCCACCGCTTGTTTCCCTCGGCGCCCTCTCCGCTTCGCGTTCTGGGCTGCAGAAGCTGGAACCCGCGCTCGGTGTCGCCACAGCATGCCATCGCACGTCACCTGCCGCCGGACACACTCAAGCTCGGTGAGAGCCATTATGCGCGCACGGCCCCGCGGGGTGGGTGGCCTCAGACGGGAAACACTTTACGTTTGTTCCGCTCGCTTAGCGCTCTCGACCGACGCGCGTACGGCGCAGGCGCCCTCGGAGTTGGTGCGGCGCGGGGCGGGGCACGCGCTCGCTTGCGCTCTTCGTGGGTGCGCACGCCAAGGGCACCCGACGACTTTGCGGAAGATGTCATCGAGAAACGGTGAGCCTGGGTAGCTATGCGGTGAGCGCATCAGTCGTGTGCGGGAAGGTACGTTGGTCCGCTCCCTCCGGCGCTCCGTTCGCGCGTCGGATGGCAACCTGACGGGCCTCGTCGCAGGTGTGTTGCGCGATGGAGGATCTACTCGGTATCGAGTGAGGTACCGTCCCCGCTCGCTCGTGTCCCCGAGATGTCGCGAACGTCTACTTTGGCGAAGACGAATTGTGGGGTCGAAGCGAAATTAGGTGTCGTTGGGCATCGCATTCGGACCTTTAGAGAGCTCGAGTTGGATGCTGGGCACGGGATGCTAGGTACTGCCCTCTGGCGAAAGCGGATATTTGAGCCCTAAACGACGGGACGTCCTGTAGAGTTAAACATGTTACAATACAATCAGGAGGTATAATGAACTTGCCTTGGCGATACACCGCAGTTCAATACACGTCCATGATCCTCCGTGATGCTTGCGCATACTGAGCCTCTATTCGCGTGCATGGTGACTTCATGCAGTACGGTCTGACGCTGGGCGACTACAGGGTCGCCGGGAAGACGGTTGCAGACCAGAAGGACAGCAGAGGAAGACGGTGACGACAGAGGAGGGACTAGGCCCTCGTCGGCTGCTTTTGCTGTGTGTGGTTTGGAATGCTGTGCCCTCGCTGTCAGTGCGATGATTGGTGCCAGCAGGCGAGCAATGCAGGAGGACAAACAAGTGAGATATTCTAGCGTGATAGCCACAATAATTCCGATGGTAGCACGGAGAGAACATTAGAGGAATGTGGAAGACATACTCTATTGGAAGGGTGCTCGCAGCTGGTGTGGTTGAGCCTCGGATCTTAGGGGCCCGTCGGGATCGCTCTGCACCGCGAGTTTGCGTCCGCGAGCGATTGGCAGACTGCGCGAGGCTGGAGGCCGGCCGCAGGCAGCTCTGGTTGCTAGCAAAGCACGTAGCAACAGCAGACAAGCCAGCGCGTCTGCAATTTTTCAGGAGCTGCTTCTTCGAGTCGCTGCGGTCGAGGGGCAGCTCGGGCGGTAGTGCGGATACACCGGCAGTTCGGTTCGATTTTCGGTGGAAGGTGCCGATCAGATCAGTCGAACCACGATCGCCGGTGCCTCCTCCGGTCGGTGCTCCCGCCATTCGCTCGCCCTCGCTTTCGAGAACAGCGAGCTGTTGGAAACTACGTAGTTCACCTCCTTCGACGTCCTCCGGGCAGAGCGGTATTGCTGTGCAGGCCTGGAGCAAGTATTGTTCGATGGATACTCGTTTGTAATGGTACCTACTAGTCCTGACATCAACCGTGCTTTCTCATACGCGACTATAGTTGGCTGCGATTAAGCCCCGACGTGTGCCGGAGGAGACGTCAGGAGACTGTACCCTGAGCCTAGACGGGTTCTGCTTAGAGAGGACGACCGTTGCTTGTGACCAGCAGTGCATTCGCATGGCAGAGCTTGGGAGTTATCGCTCGGAGCGTGAGTATCTCTGGCGGGCGGCTCTGCCGCACTACACGCATGTCCCATGCATCAAGCATGTTTCTCCGTAGTCCAGAACGCGAGCGGCGTGAGGACAGCCCGTCGTCATATCCTCTTCCCAGCACAGGCTGATATCACATGTGCCCATACGAGGCAAGGATGGAGATAAGGATGCACAGCGGCTTCCCTCTCGCGCTTCGTGCTTCGAGATCTCCTGACAATGGGTATGTCATCGTCCGGGAGGCCAAGCAGGGCTGGGCGCTGGGGACTTTGACTGGCGCATTGGCGAGGCACGCAACCTCCGCCATGGTTGAGCGTGCATACCAGGTGATGACGACTTGCGATGCACGCATCCCATGGTTCCCAATCTTTTTTTTTGTGCGTGGCGGATTGTCAGCCGTCGAAACGGCCAGAGTGCCCGCCACAAAGCATTTCGGCCAAGTTGATTGACGTGCATGTTGGTGTGTATGTGTGTGTGGGCTATTTTTTGCGTGCGTGCTCGGTGCTGGGGGGTTGGCCCGGAGGTGTCTGGCAGGGGCTCTGTCGAGGATAGCAACGGACTGGAAACGAGGATTAATTACGCGCACTCGCCAGGTTCTTCCGACCGAGAGCGAGAAAAGGAGGAGGAGCACCGGCGGACTGGGTCCGTGCGAGACCCTGCAGCCGCCTGTTCCGCCGACCAATGGACGACGAGGCTGATGCCAATTGCAGACCTGTTGATCGTCTCTCTCACTGGCGCCGTGGTGTGACGTGGGCCTTCTAGCGCGTGTAAGGCTTGCTGTCTCATCCCATCAAGCTTTGCGCCCGTGTGGTCGTCCCTTATTGAGATCCATACCCAGATGTGCTTATTGCGATATTCTTGACCTGCCAAGCGTCCCCGACTTCCTGTCATGTTCGGAGGTGAAAAGCAAATGCCTGCTACTACAAGAACTCGAGCTTCTCGCCACCATCCCATCACTTTACCCTGTCCCTCCTGTAACTCTACGGTTAAGCTTCTCCCTGCCGTAGCCAACACCGACAGCAGCAGCAGACATGTACAGACACGACGACGCCGTTCAGCCCCGCGACCGACGAGCATGGACCGAGGACGAGGATGAGCTCCTCCGTCAGGCTATCGAGAAAGGCACGCCCGCCGTCATCTCCGGCGTTCTCCCCACGCACTAACCCACATCTCATTTCCGCAGAGGACGGCGACGCCAACCCCCCGTCCAAGTGGCATGCCATCGCCAAACACATACCCAATCGCACGAACAAGGACTGCCGCAAGCGTTGGTGGGCTCAGATGGCCACCCGCGTCTCAAAAGGCTCCTGGAGCGCAGAGGAGGATGAGCGTCTCTTCCAGGCCGTGGAGGAACTCGGCACGAAGTGGGCAGCTGTCGCCAGTCGGGTCGCTACCCGGAACAGTGGCCGTACGTTTTCTTTCGCTCGCCGCCCTTCCCCGCGACCCTCGTCCTGACCTCATACTCCCACCCCAGAATGTGCGAAGCGGTGGAATGACGCTCTCAACCCGGCAATTGATCGTAGCGGATGGACTCCCGAAGAGGTGGGCGCATGTCCATTCCCTCCGCCGTTCGTGCGATCACTCACCGTTTCCCTCTCAGGACGACCGGCTTCTCAAGGCGGTCGAGCAGCAGGGCCATTCGTGGGCGAACATCGCCCGCACATACCTTCCAGGCAGGACTGGCCTCGCGGCCAAGAACAGGTCAGTGTACTGCCTGTCGTCATAGGCCCTGTCAAAATAGAGTGCTGATCGTCGCTTCCCGCTACAGGTACAACCACCTCATCCGCGGTTCTTCGGATCGCTCTCCGTCCGCGCGAGGACGCCGCATGTCCGCAGCGACGGCGATGAGGCGGCGCAGCACCCGGGGGTCCTCCGTCTCCTCCATCTCAACCCCGTCTTCCTCGCGCTCCACAGCCACCCCGCCCCCATCAAGCAGCGGCGCATCAAGCCCGGAAAGCTCCGGCATGCCCCCGACGCCGACCGAGCTCTACACGCTGCACAACCCGCTCGAGTACCGCACAAAATGGGGCGCGTCCCTCGCCGAGACACCTCTCTACGAGGACCCGACGGCGCTCAGCATGGCGCACCACCACGCGGCGCACGCCCAGCAGAGCGAGAGCGACATGATGAACATGCTCCTCCAGAACTCGTTCCACGACTTCCTCGACCCGAACATGGACCCCGCGCTCAGCGTCCTGCACGCCCCGTACGGCCTCGAGGCCGCGCAGTGCACCCCGGGCGTCATGCTCTCGGACGCGTCAGCCGGTGCCGGCGCCAGCGATCCATGGGGCGCGCTCAGCGCATACCCGTACCTCGACCTCAGCTCGCTCGACGCACACGGCGCGCCGCCACAGCTCACGCCCTCGATGTCGAGCAGCGGCGAGAGCAGCGTGAACAGCACGCCACAGCTCAGCCACCCGCACTTTGGCCTCGGCCGCGCCGGCGGGTTCGCGCAGGTGCAGGAGCCGCCGCACGTCGCGGCCAACTTTGCGCAGTACATGCACCAGCCGCTCGAGGACCCCCGGTTGTCGGCCGCGCTCGCGATGTGCGACCCGTACGCGACCGGCCAGCTGTCGCATCTCATCGGCCACAATGGCGTGTCGCAATGATGCACGCGGACACGTCAAAAAGCGCAAATCTTCCCCTTGCTGCCTGGTGAGTTTTGCTAAAAAAAACTTCAATTCGTGTAAAAGCATTTTGCTGACGTGTACGTGACAGTAAAATAGCGGCCCATGTAGCACTAGACTTCCTATGGACATGCAGAGATAACCATGATCCCCATGCCCAGACGCCTTCTTGGGGCAACGACGACCACACAGCTATCCCTCGTAATTTTATGACTCGTCTCTTGTTAGTTTATGCTCTGGAATGTAGTATAGAACCCTGTATATTTGTTCATTGATATCTCCCATAGAGGTTTCGGCCGGCTCATAAGACAAAATTGCATGCCTTGCACGTCCTCAACGAACGTGCGCCTGTTTACGATCGTCCGAACCGTCCGTTACAAATTGTCGCACTGCTGGAGGGTCTCGATGCCCGCAGCATACCGCCACAAAGGGACTGGGCCCATGGTTCGATGACGCAAGGCTGTGGCCTGCGTGGTAAGAGAACGAGGTGGTCGGCATTCCAGACGAGGAGCGAGCGCCGGGCGACGACCCTGAGGCGATCTCGACTGTGCGACCGCGTCGGACGCCCTCATACCGGCTAGATGGACAAGCTACGTCATGCAGCGCATGTCCGAGGCACATTGCGGGCGGAACGCACGTAACTTTAAAACGCCTGCTCGCCGGAGGGACGATTGGCGACGGCCGCGCACATGAAACTACCGGGCAAGCACCAGTCGAAGTTCGGGCGATGGTACAGAGTCCATGGAGGGACTTCGGGGTCGTTCGGGGTTGGGGCGATACGGGGAAATTGGCGAGACGGGGACCTGCCAGGTAAGCAGCGGGGTGACGGGCTCGTGTGCTCGCCACCGTTTTCGAGGGGTCTGATCTCGCGTTGACAGCTTGGAGAGGGCAGCAGCCCCCGGAACGTGCAGAGCTGCGGCAACCGAGATGGGCGAAGCCGAGGGGTCTGGGGCGATATCGTGTCAGCAGCCGGCGAAACATGCGTTGGCACGGGACACTGGAAGGGTGGAACGATGGGGTAACGTGGATGCGCGGGCATTACAACGCAGCACGCTTCGTGGGAGTAGCGAGAGCCGCATGTCGTACACGCTGCGTGGGTAATGAGGGATCGTCGTCGTCCAGCGATGGAGAGAAACGGGAGCGTGTCGTGACCGTCCTGGGAGAAGCGTGAGAGAGCACCGGGGCGCCTCCCGTAGGTCGCCAGGGGGCGAGACCGCATCGTCGGCTCGGACGCCTGCTTCGTTGCTTCCGCGGCCCCTACCCCCGCTGCTTACCTTTTGATCCGCCGTTCGATCGCCGATCAGGCTTACAGGGCGCATCGCGCCGTGCGGCGGGGTGGTGGTGGCGGCGGCGGGCGGATGCAGAAATCCCGACGGTCCGCTCTGCGATGGCGTCTGAGGCCAATTTCCACGCCCTAGAACGTCTTTTCGCGCGACTGCGCCCGCCAAACGCGTCGAGGGATATCGCGAAGGAAGGCGCGTCGGCGAATTTTGGCACGCAGGTTCCCGCACCCTGGCCCGGTCCACAGGTGAGAGACCGGCAAAAGGAAGCTACGAGCCAGGGCGGGCGCCCCAGGGTCGTTGCCAAGCAGCCAGAGAACACCAGGGAAACGGTACGAAGCCCTGTTGACGTCGTGTCGTGACGTAGGTATGATGTCGGGCTACGCACGCAGAATGAAAGGGGCGCGCAAGGCTAAAAGCCTAATTTTTTCCAGCGTGATTCTCAAAAAGAACACCGGCAAACACACGGGAACGTTGCACTCGCGTCTTGCACGCGTCAGGTGTGAGCAGCTAAGCGAGGGACAGAGTGTACTCTAACTACGCGTCTTGGTGCGAGGTCGCGAAATAATTGTGGGAACATGTAAAATACGATTCGCAAGGTTAGATAGAAGATCGACCGAAGTCCATCAACCCGAACATTCTCGGGGCCCAGGGCAGCTGAGTCACACTCGACTCAAACGTTTCAAGTACTATGCGTTCAAGCGCTTCCGAACAAGCTGCAATTCCAAACCTCGATTCGCTTTGACGGACTTCATGTTTACTTTTGTGCTCCAGGTTTCGAAGAACCTGGTATTAAGAGCTCATCAAATGTTGACATCCTCACAATGATTTGCTGAACGCCGTAGGTACGGCGAAAAAGTGCAATGAAAGATTTTTGGCACGCTGGTGACTTCAAATTCTTCCAATATCATACGTTCAACACAAAACTACCCGTTGAAATTGAATGAGCGTCAACATCAGGGCTGCAATTAAAACATTGGGTGCCCGACAACGAGGCATTTGCCCACGCGCAGAGCACAGATCCTGATCCTGGTCACGAGGACGCCTTCTCCCGCTCCGGATCTGATGCGCCTGCCCGACGGCGCCTTAAACAGCCCGCGCAGTTTTCTCCATAAACGCATGCTCTGCGCATTGCTTCGGCACCGGAAAGAATGACTTCAGGACGGATTCCCCGTGGATGACGTTCAAACAATCAACGCGGGGATTAGCAGTAGTGAGAAGGCGTAGGCTGTAGTCAGCCTTTTGACGGGTATCAGTGGGAAAGCAGAGCATTATCCTATAACTTACTACATGCGCGTACATTCGCCCCAACGGCATGTCGGACCCTAGGAGACCATTTTTCAAACCCCTTTCTCATCAGCTCCATTAAGGCCTTTATCTCCAGCATCCATCTCCACCATGGTACCACAGCCCGAAACATCCTTCCCCGCCTGAGCAACATCGTTGTTCCGCGGAGCACCGGTCCGATAAAACACTAGCACGGCAACCGCCTCCAGCGCGACAACGGCAATCTGCCAGTAAAACGTCGCCCGACGGCCCTCAAACGCGCGGAATCCGCCGTGCCGCAGCTCGACGCCCGCCTCGAGCGCCGTGTCGACCGCGAGCCCGACCGACGCGCCGAGCTCGCAGCCGCAGTTGAATATCGCGCCAACGATACCCGCCATCGCGCCCGGCGAGCACGCAAAGATCGCGATGCTGATGTACGTGTTAGTGCCTGCGTTCCGGACCAGGGAAGCGACGGAGAGCGCACTTGGAGTGGGTGTATACGAACATCGCGCCTGCCGAGCCGAGCGCAAGCCCGGGGAAGGCGTACCGCCAGTACACGCCGGGTGCGTCCGAGTCTGCGAAACAGAAGAGCACCGTGCCTGCGATCAGGAGCACGTTGCCGAACGTGATGAGCCACTTCGGCGAGACCCAGCGGGCGAGCGGGCCCGTGAAGCACACGCAGAGCGCGGCGATTCCGATGGGAACCCTGCGGAGGCGTGTGAGCACTGCGAAAGGCGGTCACACGGAGGAGACGTACATGTGCACGGCAGACTTGATGACGGACCAGCCGAAAACGTCTTGCCAGAGCGGGTAGAAGATAGACATCGCGGTGTTCCACCACATGTAAGGGACGAGCGAGACGCCGAAGAGAACGGCGAAGTTGGGGAGGAACCATGTACGTGGCGGTCTACGGAACCATCAGCTTAGCGTAGACAATGGGAGGGAAGAACGTACACTGCGGCGCGCTCGAACGGGATGTGTGCTTTCCAAAGGAAGAACAGGATGACCATGAGGACAGATATCACTAGTGGTGTGATGACCTGCCCAGTGCCCCAGCCGTCCGAGGGCCCGCTGGTGACAGCAAAAATAAACAAGATGAGTGCACCTGTCAAGAGCGTGGTCAGAACGAATTACACAGGGAGCTGAAGAGAGCACTTGCCGGTCAGAAGCGTTACACCAACCAAGTCGAGGTTCCGTAGCTTCTCGCGCTGCGAGAGAGACTGGCCGGGTCCATCGTGGCGGTCGGGTATAAACACCAAACAGACGATGGCCGAAGGCAGCGCAACGATCGCCACGAACCAGAATACCCAGCGATAGCTTGCGTACTGCACGAACAACCCACTGATGATTGCTCCGAGAACTATGCACGGATAGACATATCAGATATTGCCCACGTGTACACCAAGGGCGAACGCACCGTTCCCGATGCCACCGACGCCGCCAAATATGCCGAGTGCTCGCGCCT